CCAGTTAACCTATGGAACTTTTCACCAACTCTCTCATTATCAATGCCAAGTGGAGTTGACTGTGAAGCTCCTGAAGCCAAGCATTGTGCCACCTAGACCCACCTCTAGCTTGAGGATCACTGGTGTAAGAAAAAAAATCTTTTTGTTGACCAGTTACTTTATTATTGCCTGCTGCTAATTATCTTGAACTTAGACTAAACAGACATCAGTCTCACATGATGATCTCATTTCTTCAAAACAGGATTCCTACTCTTTCTAAATATATGAACAGAGTGTGTGCATATATAAATTGAATATTTTAAGACATCTCCGAGCTGTGATTGCTGTGTACAGTTTGTTCAGCTCATGACAATTTTATAACTGTGATTGTAGCTCATCTGAAAGTTGTAACCTGAGGTCAATATTTTGGAAGCACTTAGGCACATATGGAAGGTGGTTAGGGTGGTTTATGCTTTGTGGCTTATTTTTACTTCGTTTTTACTAAACCAGTGGAATTATCACAACTGAGTCCATTTTTGTATGGCCTTTGTATTGTTTTTTCTACAAGAGTTGGAGGGGTCTAACTATTATTTATTAACATTAATCTTTAAATAATTTTATTATCATTAAAAGCTACAACCATTAAAGTACAGATTGCAGATCACATATCTTTATTATGATATTAGGAATAATTTAAAGCAGCTAATTTTTCAGATAGTGTGCTCTATATCCTATTAAAATATTTTAGTGGTCAAAGGCTTAAGTTACTATGAAGTCATACTTTTAAGTGAGCCTGTACAAACAGAACATTATGTTATTACTGATGATAGATACAATGAGGATGTGGCATTGAGTTGTATCCTCAGGCTTGTCTTTATCCCAAGAAGTTCTGCAGTTCTTTTCTGTAGCATTTGACTGCTAGCCACATTTTGTATTTTCTTTCCCAGTTTTGAAATTCCACATGTGCAACCTACAAGTTTTCGAATAAAAAGAAACGGTAGCAACTCATTTGCATGTCTACCACTGATCTTCCTAAAATGTTAGGCCAGATATTTCTACTGCAGTTCCACTTCCCTAGATTTTGCTTACCACCGTATGCAGCAGTCAAATAAAAATATTCTCAAGTGAAAGTGGAGATTATTAGTTGAAAAGCCACTATGTCAGGTCCACAACTTGTAAATATGCATTAGTAGGGGGTACAAAATTTATTAAAAGCAGAGTTTTTTGATTCTGCACACTAGAGACAAAAGGAAAAAAAAGGAGAGAAACCAATGATGAAGAAAAAGAGTTGTATACACTTAGTCTTGAAGTCAGATTCATTACACTTAGCTAAATACTGCAATTTCAACCACTTTCAAAGGCTAATACAGGTAAGTAGTTGAAGAAATACTTATGACATAAAGTCTTCTATTTTGGTGCCCTTAAGTACATGTTACTGTTCACAAAAGTGCCTGAGAATTAATAAAGAGAATTATTGTCCAAAAGTAATTGTATTAATCAAACAATATAGTTGATGTTATAACCAGGCTGATGACTGCATTGATGAAAACTTACATGGGCTTGTCCTTATGAGACCTCATACAGGGGCTGTATTCATTCATGTTTAACACTTCAAAACTATTTTTCTCTTTGGAACTAAGATTTTTCAACATTTGTATTTCAGCTGTTTAGTTAAAAGTGACTGAATAGCTTTGCATTTATTCAGACATTACTGAGAGCGTAACTGCACCTGGGGCAAGATTCCCAGACAGATTATTTAGAAATGTCAAGGCTTTTCAAGCTAGATTTTTAAATGTAATTTCTGAATTGAACTTTCAGTGATGATTCATTAGAAGTTGTACAAATAATTTAAATTGAAACAAGTGTCAGGCTGGCATTGTTATAAATTACTTTTGTCAAAGCATCCTGTTTGTTGAATGACCACTTCTGATTTTTAGATCTGGCAGTGGAATCTAGTGAGGAAGAGGAAAGGAAGGAGAGATATTTTGTATACATAGTATCTGTCATATATACATTTTATATGGACTTTTTAAATGAAATTTTCATGTTTAAAAATTCAGGGCTTTGGGGAGCAGCTTTTCCATATAGATGGTTTGATGTATTTATAGTATAATTGTATGTAGGGGGTTTTTTTTCTGCCCTGTTGTTCCACTGATAGATTTTAAGAGTGGTAAGGAGTTCTTAAGAGCATAATTCAAACTCTGTTTCAGTAAATCAAAGACTCTGACTGGTTTCAGTGAATTTGAATCACTATACAGGCAATCCTGGACGTTGATTAAAGAAGAATATAGGTCATATATGAGCTATAGATGATCTGGGCCTGTTTGGCCTGGAGAAGAAATGACTGAGGGGGGATCTTATCAATGCATACAGATATCTTAAGGACAGATGTCAAGAAGATGAGACCAGACTCTTTCCAGTGGTGCCCAGTGACAGGACAAGGACAATGGACACAAACTGAAATGTAGTGGAGTCTCCTTGCCTGGAAACATTCAAAACCCACCTGCCTGTGATCCTGTGCAACCTGCTCTAGGTGAACCTGCTTTAGCAGGGGGGTTAGACTAGATCTTCTCCAGAGGTCCCTTCCAACCCAACCATTCCATGATTCTGCAATATGCATAAATGAATATTTACCATAAATTTGTGTGGCATGAATATTTCTACAAACAAAAAGTATATTTTCTGGATTTTTTTTGTAGTGTGAGGGTTGATAATTGAACTGTTTAAATCAGTGGCAGAACATTTCTCTAATATCAGACCTGCACCTATGAGAAGGCTGTCTTGGTATCAACAAATACATTATGTACAGTCATTGTATCAACTGGTATACCACAGAAAATTGTAATAAATATAAGGACCACAAAAAAGTAGGACTGGGGATTCTCTAGTAATATGACGCTAATATAACCATCTTGTGGAACACTAGTTCACAAAAATTAGCTATTCTAAGACTATACTTTTGTAAAACTTATCAGAGACTCAAATCTCTGAACCAGCTTAGGTTCAGAAGTGTTTTTTATACACCCATTTCTGTTGGAATTACACAGCTAGTATTAAGGACTATGTTTCTTATTTTTTTAACAAGGTTGAAATAGTTTGTTATGTAGATTAGAATTTCTTTATTTTTCCAAGAGAAACAGATTCATCATGTATAACTCCTCCTTAACTATGACTAGATGATGATTACATTTGGACAATAACATAAAGACTTTCTAAAGAAAACTTCCAAAGACCCCTAAGAAATTTTTTTAAGATTAAAAATGATACATAAAAGAAATGTAGCGTTTATGCAAATGAGAGTCCTCCCCAAGGACTGGTTTGATTTTCAAAACACAGTGCATTTGCAAAACAATGTTCCTAAGCAGTTTAAAATGTAGACATCAGCTTCTCTTCACTCATGGGTTTGCTAAATTAGCATAATCCCATGGAAGCAAAACCTATGCTGTAGAGCTGATGAACAGTTTTTTTATTAAAAATACATTCCTTCGTAACTTCTAGAAGTTTGAAAATGTAAGTATTAAAATCAATGGCAGAAAAAATTTATTTTTTTAAAAAAAGAATGTGGTATATGTTCATGCTCACAAAGTCTTTTTGAAACAAAAAGGGGATTTGCTTGAACAATGTGATCAGGAGTGTCATTGTGTGGTCCAGTTTTACAAAAAAAGCCATTTTCAAGGTGGGGGTACATCTCTTTCACTTACATTATCCTGTACATACAGAATATGTACATCCCCTAAAAATGTATTTCTGTTTGCTGCTGCCAGATTCAGGAATTTGGTATTGATGTCTGTCAAGCACACAGCAAGTGTAACTGAAGTCTAAAGGACTACTCACAAACTGGCACAAATGCTTAAGGATAAATGCTAACTGAAAAAGGGATGTCTACTGATATTAGAGATGCGGGACATGAATCATAGGCAGTTACCACCACTACTGCTGCTTTGTGCAGTTGTGATTTGGTAGTGACCATCAGGCTGGATATGTGCCCTGGGATTCTCACTTCCAAAAAGAAGTGTGTGACCAGTGGGACAGAGAATTGGGCTGTTTCTAGGCACTGCAGAGAAGGTATTTAATGGAACTACAGGAGCTACAAGAAAGCAAAATATTAATTTTTTTAATATGCTTGTCTTCTTGTTTTGTGCAATAATATTTGTTCATTAAATCCCACATGACTGAACAAAGCTAGTAGCTTGATTATAAATTCTTTGGGAACTGTAGTGGCCTCTAACCCCAGGCTACGGGTCAATATATTGCACACACTTGCTGACATTGCTCAGCGTTCCTACGCTTTCCTTTCCACGGACACAATACTCCTTAAACTGACATGCAGGACAAAATAATATGCTGCCTGAAGGACATTATTCACTCAATGATGCTGCCCTTGGACCAGGCAATGCTGGAGCCAGTGCTCTAATAATCCTTCTCAGGAGGGCCAGAGGAGTCCTAGGTAAGCAGATGTAAATCTGCACATACCCAGGAATCCTGTCTCAGGGAAAGACTTTGAGCTAGGCTTTTTACATAGGCATAGTACATTTTACACATGTGAAAGAATTGAACATGATGCCAAAAAATGCATAGTGGTGTTTAATGAATAAGACAGTATCAAGATAATCAGCAAGTTCTGCATACACGAGTTAGGGGGGCAGTCAGTAGCTATGCTCTGTTATTTACACATTCCTCCCTTCCCATGCATTTTTAAAGGAAACAGCACATTTAAAACAAAATGCTCTGCTCCATGTACATAGAGAATTTAAATTTAATTATTTTCAGAAAAAGTATTTTAAGGGGTTATTCAATAATCAGCATGGTTCTGTTGATCTGTTCTGCTTCTTGCCTGAAGGAAGTTATTACACAGGAGCTGTTTGAAGTGCAGGTCAGAACGCCTGGGATGGAGCGGCCTCGGAGGCTGCGCTCGGTCCCTGTTGTTCTGGCCACCAGTAGGTGGAGCTGCCACGTCAGGTGCTGCGGGCTCGTCACTTCTCCCCCTCCATCCATCCCCCCTCCCTCCAGCCCCCCTTCTCCTAATAAGCTGTTTTCTGATATATGTTGGGTACCATAGAGTGAGACTGAGAACAGGAAGCGGAGGCAGAATCAGAGAGGATTCTGGAAAGGTCTCTGTGTTTTCTTTTCCACGGAGAATACAGAAATTATAATTAATTAGTAAAGCTTTGTGGATGGAAATCTGGACTATTTCAGGAGGAGACATATATTATTTTTGGATGCTGGGCTTTGCTGTGATTGTTCATTCTCCTTCAATCAGGTAAGCCAGAAAAACATTTAATTTTACCCATAATAAATCATAGCAACATGATCTTTTCCACGTTTCAGAATTGGATTGTACCCTCTGGTTTGCTGTTAAGGTAGAGCCAAAGATGGAATGGGGAATTCAAAGCCATTTTGTACTGACTGACTGTGATGATGGTGTGATTTTTTTCTTTTTAACCTCGTTAAATCTGGTATCTGGCCTCTACTCTTCATGTGATGTTGTGATGCAGTACTCTTACTTGCAAAATCAGATCATTTTATCATCAAGGTATACTACATTAATTCCAAGCATTTTATTGAAGTGACCTTGTTCCTTGTTTCCTAGGAAGAAAAATCTGGTGATATTCAGACTCAGGAACAGCAGGTCTCATAAGATTCTGAGCATCTCAGATTCTGATGATTCAGGAATAAAATCTATGTTGTTTGTTACTGCTATTTTTTATATATATGTGTGTATATATATATATGTTTTTGAAGAAATTCCCTTATTATCTGAATTTTGCAAAAAATATATATGGAAATATTTTCTTTCTTTGCCATTTTTTTCATGCTTGTGTGTCTGTGTATATGAGAGAATGGGCTCACCAACTGTTAACTAAGCAGAGCTCCACACTAAATATATAGTTCACATTTTGTCTGTAACGTTACTGTCAAGCTTAATAAACGCTTCTTAACAGGACTGTTTGGAGAAATCAGCACAAGAATTATTATATTTTATTTTCCATTCATGTATTGTCTCATTCATTGTTATCAGTGATAATTAAAGCTGTCAGTTATTAAAGGTAAATGGAAAATATCTATTGAAGATCACTTTGATATGTGAATTCTTTTTTTCACTAGTGGTTCTACGGACGCATAGACATTGAAAGTATATGTGTTATGTTAGTATTGATTTGGAAATTATTTCCAAAAGAAAATAGTAGAAATAAAAAAATGCCAAAACCCCCATACAGCAGAATAAGAAACCCACAGATTACAAATCACCACCTCAATCCATACATGACAAGAAAGCTGGATTGGGTCTTAGGTGGTACTCAGAGTAGCCAGTGAGGCCTGTACCTGAAGCACGAAAGAATGAAGTTTTTAATTTGTATTTTTTTATGGTGCCAAATGAATGTTCCTGTGGTGTCCTTGTGTAACTTCAAAATAAATAATCAGTAATAATGATGATGTTTGTTTTAGAAATATATCATGTTTGTGCTTTTATAATTGATTTGTCAAGAAAACAGTTTCAGAAGGAGACTTTTTAACTCCAACAGTTTAATATTTAATATTTGCTCTCCTGCACATCTCCATTTGGGAATGAAAGATTGTTACAGACAAGAATGTGAGCTGCTGCAGTAATTCAAAGCTTCGTAGCACCTATTAAACAGATCTGTTTTTTATTAGGCCTTGATATTTACAGAAATTATGCTTGTCCTGTCAGCTGATGTTTTTTTCCCTCTAATAAGCAGAAGTTAAGTGCCTATACCAATTTTCTGAGCTGTGCCAACTAAGCACAGTATTGCAAAATTCTGTTTAGATAATACTAGATGCTAGCAAAGGTAGACAATTTCACATTTTCAATGGAGAACATAAAGCAATTCCCCTATGCCCTCTTAGATTGTCAGAGTGGTAGTTTGGTAATTTCCCTTTGTTATCAGGTAACCCAGAGTGAGGAAGGATCAAGGGAAAGAAGGAAGTATAGAAACTATGGGGATTTTAATCAGTATGCTGGTGACACATTTTGTGCTTCTACCTCTTCTTCTTCACAGATAGCATAAGATGAGTTAACTTGTACCTTATGAAGATTAGGCATGGAGAGATTTGCCCTCAAAAGAGCGAGGATTTTAGAAGGAAAAAGGGCGGTAGGATGTAAGATGGAACTTTCTGACTATGATATCCATTTCGTTCTGCTGCTAACATCTCGCCCAATATAGTTTGTTGTGTGTATGCTATGTACTAATTATATTACTGGAGTCCCACAACTTTTGATAAATCAGAGAATAGAAGATACTAAGAGAGTTCTTTGTATAAGGCAAGCAAGTTGTGACCTTGTTCTCTAAAGTACAAATCTTGGCCCTTTTTACCCATATGCTGTTCTCACCATAACATGACAAATGAAAAAAATTGCTTGAACTCTGCTATAGTTATATCTAAAGGAAAATAAATGCAAGTTTCTGATATTGGGTATTTTATTTGCTAAAATGATCTATTTACTGAACTCTGAAAATGGCTATTGAAAATAAGTTTCAGGAAGTTACCTTTAATGTGTTCTTTATCACAAAATTCTAGTTAGAAGTTAGAAACTTTACATTCCAAATTCTAGTTAGCTTATTTTCCACTCAGTGTAACTCTTTGGTGTTTTTTATTTACCTTATAGCTGTTAATCAGTAGTATATACTGTTGCCATTTGCAGGAAATATTGGCTTTTTTATCCTCCCAAGGTTTGAAGTATCATAATAAAATTGGTGCTCACTAGTTCAGACTGTTACAGAACAGAACATGTACAGACTCTGAACTGTGGTTTCAGTGAGTCCATCAAATCAAGGGTCAACCACCACAAAATCCATCTATAGGAAAAGTCATCCTCTTAATTGGAAACCTGATGTTACTCATTACATCTACTACGCCTGATTAAAAGCTCTGAAGCACATTGTAGTGGCATCTCTCTAAGTTTGATATTGACCAATAGGACTGCCATAGGATTTGGTCCTGGAGCTGGTATCTTACAACCAGTTCATCTGCTTTCATCAAAATTATCTCTATGAACAGCTGGAATCCCTAGTATATTACTATGATAGTGTTACTGCTTGACTTTCCTTGTCTTATGATGAGGTAAAGCAGAAGGAATAGGGATAAGAGCAGCTCAGGCAAGTGCTGTATTACTTTGAATATAAATATAGAGTAGGAACACCATATGCTCTGGAGTAACCATAATGTGTGTGTACTACCACTGTAATCCTAAAGAGGAGTAAGCAAGTTAAATTCTAGGTCACAAAAGTATCTAGTATCTCATTTGTTCATTACAAAAAAACCCCCCAGAAACTAAACCACAAAGCAAACCAAACAAACAATAAAAAACCACTCAAAAAACATGAGTTAATCTACCCCAAAACTGTGATTGCAAATTGTTACTAAATTTTAATGTGGTCACCAGTTTTGTAATGTCTTCTTACAAAAAATTACCGCTCTCTTATGCTATAAGTCAAATCTCAAAATGTGTTTTACAGTGAAAAATGCAACTAAAAAATTAAAATTGAATTAAAAAGCTTGAGCTTTTATGGGGCTCTTTCACATGTAAAACCTTAAGGGAAAGCTTATTTATGATCAGATTAATTATTTGTCTAGTTATTAATCTTTACTGGTGTTGATCTTTTTCTTACTGAGTAATTTTACTTAGGGAAGTGTAATCATAGAGCTACCATGTTCACAAGTCCCCTTTTCAACCTGGAATTGTTTCTCCTGTCACTTCTTTGGGTCCACCTGCTCAATGTCATATATCCTTATCAAATCATCAGATTTTGAATATGTATATACTGAGTGTATATCGCAGATATTTTGATTGCTGTATCTGCTCAGCAAAGCTGATGTTTTGTGTTTTGAAGTTACTACATATGTATAGACTGTCTGAAGAGCACATACAGCTGACTCCCTATCCCTGCAATGCCTCAGGCACATCCTTGTATTTCATTGCAGGATTTCCTGAACAAAAGTATCAGGCACACTGGTAACTCTGAAAGGTTATCACAGATGCCAGTATGGAAAATGGCTGGGAAGAATATCAGCACTACTGGCTCTGTGATCCCCTTTATCATAACACAGTATAACCACTGTTAATTAACAGGGTGATCTTGGGATAGGTATACACTGCAGGAAATTTCCATTTATAGATTATTTATGCTTAAATTAGATGATGCTTCTTTCATTTTAAGGACCCCCTTTTCAATATGAGAGGGGAGCGATGTTTATGGTCTTTTAGCATAATTTGTTTTAAGAACAATGCGAAGTGAGAAACTTCCTTTACCTTCTTAATCATAAAATATTATTATGTATGATTATATTGGTTCCTAGGAAGTTACAATCTGTGTTCAAAATCACTACAAAAATGCAAATGAAGAATTAAATAAGGAAATAAATTGCTCACAAGAAAAATAATTCTTTTATACAGGGCAACATAGCACTATGTGACCTGGCTTCTGTATTAATTGAGAAAATAATCTGCCATCATTTCTCATAAATCATATCCTTTCATTGCCTGGTTGTCCTGGAATCAAAGCAGAAATTTCCTGAGTCCAGGTAGCCTGACTTTGGGCCCACATGTCCCAGATTCTTGCATGCTTTGGTTTGAATATCCTGAAAACTCTGCCCTTTCTTAGGCATTATTGTGCTATCTTTTAATATTTGGACAAACTGAGGAATTCCAAATTTCCATTGGTTCAAAATATGCTCTCAGAAGACCAAATTTCTTGGTTTAATTTTAAATATGTCCAAGTATGAAGTTTTCAGATGTTAAAATGAGGGCACTTAGCAAACAACTCTCATTGCCTTCTCAGAGGCCAGCCACAGAGGACAACTGTGTGACTGTACCAAGACTTTGATACAAGAGTATTTTATCCCTTTTTATTAATATTCGAAATCTATGTGTGGTGGTCTTCAAAATCTGAAGGTGAATTTGTCTCCGTCCCACCTAAAAGCACAGGATTTTTTTTCCCTCAGATGCAGTTAACATTATACCAACTTGATTTCCTTGAGCATGGAGATTTCTTCACAGTTATTACTATGCAGAGCATTTACTTTTGAATGTATATGTGATTGTGCAGCAGTTAGATAGTAAGGATCAAGCTGGTAGACTACTAAATTAGGATATTAAGTCATAGGAATAAAGAATCCCTATACATTTTAGCAAAGTTATCCTAGCAGTGGCTACAGTGTCTACGGTGACACTCAGAGATAGACATTTCTCACCCCAGATAATTATTTTTATTTCAACAGATAATTGAGTGTGTTTTCTATTGAATAGCATTCTTTATAGAAAACTAATTCTCTAAATCTAAACTGTGGGATGACTTTTATGTTACATAAAGAGCACTTTAAATGGTGAGTGAAAGCATACACCTAACTCACACGCTTGCATTTTATCAAGGAGCAAACTCCACACGTAACAAACAGCTTTGAATCCATTAAAAAAAAATTTAAGGTTATTTTAACTTAATAGCCCAATCATCTGTAGAACTTGTTTATGACAGATGAAAGCTAAAGTACTAAGTTTACAGTTAAAAAGGCAATCAATAATGTTATTTTTAGGTCTGAGTGGTGTAAACTTGATGATGGAAATTAGTAGTAATCTCAAAAGGGCCCAAGAGTCCAAGGTCAGATTGAACTGAAGAAGGGCAATCCTAATGTTTACTGTCATTTACATAAAATGTCTAAAGAAAAGACTGTCACTAATATTTAAAGCCAAAAATGCTCATTTGAAGAAATATGACCTGAGTCAGAAGTTCTGACCAAAAGCAATATAAATAAACTTCAACCTGTATTATGAAGGAATTTCTTACCTACCAAGCGAAGCTGTAACTGAGTATTTAAGGAGCCTTCCTGAAAGGTTTTTACTTATACCAGTTTAAATTTCTTGCTATGTATTTCCTACACATCAATTTGTTTTAGTTAGTGTTATAATAGGAAGAACACTAGAATTCTAGGAGCTGCTGTAACACTAGCTATCATTCTGTAATGTATGTTACTTAAAGCTGTAGGCCTCTAATTAGTACAATATTTTTTTAATATACTGAAATTCCAGTATTACAAGGATAACTTTTAAAGAGATGGTAGAAAGCTTTGCACCTTTGGATTTATTATCTGTGACTAGACTGAAGTCATACTTCCATAATACATTTGGAAAACATTCCAAACCCAAGGCTTGGTTAAGTTTTATTAGACACTTCCATGATACTAGAATAAATGCCTTGGAGAAATCTATGTACATTTTTAATATGCTGTGCTAAACCCCAGTATAAAGCATTCTATTTTCATGTTGACTTTCTGTGCATTTTCCTCCCTGTGTAGTAACAATCACATTCAGCCAAGAACTGTGTGTAAGCCTCTCAAATAGAAGTTCCATTTTTTTCCCTTTCGGTTTCCTAGACAACTGTCAAATTCTAAATACAGTCCATTAATCTTGTGCTATATGATGTTTATTCTTTCCTATTTTGTATTGATTAGTTTCTGGGGCATAGTAAGACTAGGAAAGTAAGTGTTCCAGCTGTGTGGTTCTTAATGATTCAATTAATTTTCTGAGTTTAGTTTGTTGTTTCTTCTTAAGTTCATAAGCAATATTTGCTGTTGCAAATGCATTTTCATAAGTTTACCTAGAAAAATTTAGAAGCTGGTATTACTTTACAAACTGAGCTTTCTTTTTTTTTACAAGCAAAATCAATACTGCGATGTATTTAGATATTGCTAATTGATGTTTTATTGTAACTTTTTTAACACCTTCCCAGTGGATACTGGTGAATGTACCAGTGTTTCACTTGTCAGCACATTTAAATTTTGAGTACACAAAATATTAGGAATTAGTCAAATTAGGTACAATTAATTTTGTGGATAACTCTGTTTCTTGTTAATCTAAAACTGGGTTGACACTTTCATAATTGCTTAACAGGAAATGTCCATATGGTTGCCCATGATTTCTGTTCATTGCATTTGCCTCTAACATTAGATTTCACTTAGTTGACACCATCCCTGGCATATTGCCCTATAATGGTCTTGATGAGAATATCTAATTTTTAATAACCTCATTTCTTTCTTTTCCATTTTATCACTACATTGAAAGGGAGCTCAAGTGCGGGAGGATATAGTTTGAAATATTTTTTGAAGCAATATCACGTCTCAGAATTTGAAAGATGTTCTCACCAGTCTTAAAATAAATGCTCATGCCATATATGCTGAAGACTTCAGGAAAAAGCCTTACAGGAAACAATATATACGGTCTGTCCATCAGGAATCACCTCTGACTAGGCCTGAGATTTTACCTATGATTCATTCTTGGGAGATGAATCAAGATAAGCTACCCTAAATAAAAATTATTTTGGTCAATGTGTTATCAGTCAAAATGATTCTCTATCATCACCTTCAGCTACAGTAAAACTGTATAATCTGGACCCACCTATGAAAATTTCTGGTATTGGTGTGAGAACCAAAGACATGCATTTAAGAAAAAAAATACCAAATTTTGTTTGGCTTTGTAGTGTTGCAAATATTGCAAATATTTGTGTTATACAAAAAAAAGCCAAAAACTATATGCGATGAGATATTAATTGAAATCCTGTAATGAAATTACACTGACATGGCCTAAGCCTATTATATATCCAGGACCAAGGGCTCACAGTTCAACCAACTTCCTTCCTTCAAGTTTTGCTGTGACTACAACTGATACTGCTATACCACCGTGATGCATAGTGACGAGGTGATAGGGTTACATGTGAAAAAAGTTCTCTGCCTTGTGCTTTAATTCAAAATACAGATTTATTGAAACTACCTGCACGGCTAGTGTTATTAACAATTTTCACATTCAAAATTGCTTCCTCGGCATTTTTCAAACTGGCAAATATTTTACAACTTGATAGTTGTAAAACTCTTTTGAAAATAAATGTCGCATGAATGTTTAGTATTAGTGATTACTCTTTTAATAGGAAGCTATAGAATCCCTTTCATATTATTTTTAAACTTGCGGGCAACAGCACTTAAACATTTTGCTGTATGTGACCATGAGATCAGATTTCAGCCACAGCGCTGCTTCAGAGGCAGAATCCAGATGCGCCCAATAGGCAAAAGGGATGGGGAAGTCCCCTACGTACCCCCAGGGAAAGCTGCATTCGGTGTAAAATATGCATTGGTGGATAAGTATCACTGGTGGCAGAGTCATGATCCCCTGAGGTTAGTACTGGAGACACAGCTTTCAGATGTCTTCAGTGGAGCCTCTCCAGTAGTGACTCACCACAGCAAAATGTGCTGAATCAGTGCCTTACTCAAAATGACCAAGGCACTGAAAGAATTTGTTCTTAGCAATCCTTGGAATGACTTGATGTTACATTATTAAACAATGGAAGCTCTAATTGTGGTTGCACTTACTGTATCTTCGGGGAAAATTTAATTCTAGATTGATAGGAACTAATACTAGGTTAGTTTTTGAAACATATTTTCTTGTCAGAGGACAAGAAAAACAGGAGAAGCAGTGGTCTAATAGAAAGCTTTCATTTTTTGTTTTTCCACCTTCTGTGTTCTCTTTGACCTGATCTATGTCTACTCAGATTTTCTTTATATTATCTACAGAGTTTCTACAGTGGCTGCTCATTCTCAATATATTTGGATAAAAGTATTACTGAGGGCTGCTTTGGCAGAAGCAGAGACCTAAAAGAGAGGGATGTCTTCTTTTCTTCTCTAGGAGTAAAAGCAAAATAACAACAATATAAAAAGTACAAAAAAAATCCAGAAATACATCTAGATGAGATATCCAAATGAGAATAAATGTCTCAAAGACAGCTCATCTCAATCTGAATGGCTGAAGACTAAAATTTATAAGATGTAAGTAGACTATTTAATTAACTAGATACTCAGATTATTAAAGACCGGGGAAGCCACAACCAGCCTTTGGTCAGCTCTTGCAATGATGCAATCTTTAAATTTAGGAACCTGAAGATACTGTCTTTTTCTGCTATTACATTACTTGACATGGAAGAAAAAAATTTTATGCAAAGAAAAACAGTCGAACCAACATTCTCTAAGAAAAATAACTTGAAGAAGTGTCTGTATTTTCATGCAAATACAGGGTTAATTAACTTCTATTCCTGGTTAAAGACAGTAAATCCAGGGGGGAGTAATGATACACTGTGCAGTTCCCCAAGTGCCTGATGGAAGCACTCCTGTTAGCCAGGGCACACAATTATCTTTATCCCATGTCTACTAAAGACTCCACTAGTCATGCAGTAATGTCAACAAGACTAATTTTCCCCTTTTAGTTAAAGCATGCAGGTAAAAGATTAAATGGAATTTAAAAGGAATTTTTGAAACTCATATCACCTACAGAATATTCTTAAATGTACTTTTGGTCTGTATTAGGTTTTGTGGAATAATCTATTTTGAATCTTGCTTTTCCTACCTCTCTGTGTTCTTAGGTTGGAAAAATATGTCTATGTGAATATGTAATTTATCTCTGTCTACTGCAATTAACTTTGAGAAGCTTTGGACACAGGAGAAAAGAATGAGAGAGTCTTAATGAAACTTCAGTCTTGAAGAAGCTTCAGCTCCCAAGGAGAAACCTTTCTTGCCAATTCCATTTTCTGCTAGAAATGCAGCCTTTTTTTTTCACATTAGCACAAGATACATGGGCTAAAATCTGAGATTTGGCATTTCTTAGAAAAATAAAGGTAAGACTTATCTTTTTTTCTCAGCCGGAAATAATGTTTCACTTCGTAAGATGGCCTTTTGATATAGCACTGCATTCCTTCACTAAAATACCAGTGGGAAAATGAAATGAACCCCGTTAATGAGGTCTAGACATAGAAATTTGTGTTATGCATGTTGTAGCTATTTTTCATTATAATGTAAGGATCTTTAGCACTAGGAGGTATTTGCAAAATGTTAATTAAGTACTGTATTCCAACTCAGTTAATGGGCTAAGAAAGAGGCCCTTCTTCTTCCTCTTAAATTACACATGGTTTTCATTTCTCCTTCAGATTTCTCCAGTATTTCAAGTATTGACACTTGATCTCTTTTCACACCTTCTCAGAGGCAGCTTATGGTATTGAAGAAAATATAAGGCAGGCCTCCATTTAAAGAATTCCTAGAGGTTTGGGTGAATTTTTACAAATAAATGGGTCAGATGATTTATTTTGGGAGTTCTGCAACTTGCAGGTACATATCTCATATCTGAGGAATCTAGATTCATGCCTTTACATAACCTATCAGTTTTTACTCTCGTTTACTATGTACAGTTGGCCTTGGTGGAGGAATCATAATCTATTACTTGTCACTCCTAGGCAGGAGGAGAGAAGAAATAAGAACAAATTAATTCAAAAGCAAATGTTGCAGTGAGATAGAGGGAAGAAAAGAGATGGCTGTGGGATGGCAATGGGCATAAACGGGCAAATAAGCAGGGGGAAAGACTATCCACAGCAAGATCTGGTGAGAGTGAGCCATGTCCAACAATGTTTTCCCAAGATGCAGCTTCTGGATCTTTCAGATAGTTCTGAAATTGCTTTCCAGTCTCTAATCTAATCTGTTTTGGGTGTTTTCCCATCTGCCTAGTCTTTCACCACTCAGACTGAACCTCATATAATATATTCTACCAGATTTCCAAACTCTTACAGTGTTTTCTTTTGTTGAGGTTGGGGTTCTTAAGGTTTAGTTAATGTGCTTTCATACTTAATTGCAAGGCATTACTGAGGATATTAAATAAAATTGCATGTAATATCTCTGAAGCACCTGAAGTATTTACTGCATTGGCTGTTCTTTGGTCAGGTTTCAGCCAGTGTGAACTACCAGTACTTATCACTACCCCATTCTAAAAAATTTTAAAGGAAGTTTTTATTAAGGAATATTGTTTCTGGGACATACCATTATTAGTTGATTTCATATTCTCACAACAAGTAACTGTTTTTATCTTTTTGAGTTATTAATTTTATTAATACATACCTGGTTGTGATTTCATTATTTTTATTTTGAATAGTTATGTAACACTAATGCTTATAGGCTACTGAGGCTGACTGTACAAATACAGACAAAAATTATAGTCATTGCTACAGATAAATTTTAGTCTAAAGAAAATGACACAATGGATGAATGGTAAATGTTGAATTGAATGGAAAAAAGGAAAATAAATCTTGTGTGTTAGTCAGTGAGGATCTGTAAACACAAACTATCATAATTTAAATTAGTACATTACAGTTTAAAGAAGGGGCAGGTTCTGACCAGGTGCTAAATGCTGGAGGCTGTTCTCAGCTTTAAGGAAGTCATGCCTTTCCTTGAAATACCTACTTTTGTGAAGCCAACTTGCATGGATTCCTTGCCTTAGGATCCACGGATAGATTTGACTGGAT